CTGCAAAGCAGAGAGAAAAGGAGGGGAAGAAAGACATAAGTCCTGATTGTCTTTGGTTCTGAATCAGCTGCTTTTGGTTCTGAATCAGCTGCTCGGGTTAAAATATTTGCACATAAAGAATTTATTTTCATGTATGGCACCACATTCCCGTCCCCGCTTCTTGTGCATTATGTCGGTCGATGGTGGCTCTCATGACAATTAAGTGGTGTCCTGTATCATGTTTTGCAGTTGATGGTGGTTATGGTAGCAGGCTTAGCAGTTGGTGATAGAAGGAGTTAATGCAAGTCTTAGTTCTAAAGGGTTGAGTAATTTGTAAGTAAGAGTTTTTGGGTAATATTAAGGGTGGAGGCATGCAAGAGATAGTTTTCAGCTGGGTTTTCTGGATATAAGGAGCTAGCCTGGAGACTGATTTCGGGATAAAAGTATTTGTCCTATATTGGTGGTGGATGCTGCTGGTTTTCCCCCAGGTCTGTGGATTTTCGGTATCCTGACCTGTTGCCTGAACTCCTGGAACTCTGCAACCTTGAATCTCTTAACTGGTTTTTGACTACAGTATAGACTCTTGATTCTTGGACTTGTGGCACCTCAGAATAAGCTTCACCTTGCTCTCAAACACTACCAGACCACGGCTGTAGGATTTATAGTTTATTGTAAAGGTTCCAAAAGAAGGCAAAGGTTAAGTCAATACAAAGTTCCAAAGTTCAGGTAAAATGCACGGTACAGTTCCAGAAATCCTTCAGAGACAATCAAGGTAAACAGGAATCATGAAACAGGAAGCACAATCCCTGTGCTCAGCAGCTTAACCCAAAAGCAGTGCCAAGGAATCCAATGCAGAAGCACGAAACAGCTAGCAGATAGCCACGTTGAAGCTGACAGCTAAGAATTGCCTGAGGAAGCCCTAAAATACAGTTTGCACATCAAAACAATCTAGTTTCCCACAAGCTGCTTTCCCACTGCTCCCTTTACCTGTCGCTGACCTAACTTGGCTGCGATCCGAGAGCCCCGTCTCATGGTTTCGCTATCCCTTTGAAGGAGCACCTGGCCCTCCTCCTTATCAGCTACATTCCTGTCCTGTGAGAACTGCTTCTCCAGCTCGACTGCAGGCTGAGAAAACTGTGAAAACTGAAAACCATCAGACTCAGAGGCCTGTTGTGCAGACAGGGGCCTGTTGAACCACAACAGGATTGAATTCTTGGCGTTTGACTCCTGGATCCTTTGACTACAGTGTTCTTGGGAACCTGCATCAGCATTTGCTATCAGTATGTGTTTTATATTTTGTGACTGAGTGCTGAGTGGACTATGAAAACCAAACTTGGCACAAAGAACTCCCATGATGAACGTAAAATACTGGAAGGCTTTGGTGGGCATTGACCTTGAGTTTGGGAGTTGTAGTTCATCTACATCCAGAGAGCACTGTAGACTCAAACAATGATGGATCTGGACCAAACTTGACACAAACTCCACCAACATTGGAACTGAACCAAATTTGGCACGAAGAACTCCCATGATGAACAGAAAATACTGGAAGGCTTTGGTGGGCATTGACCTTGAGTTTAGGAGTTGTAATTCATCTACATCCAGAGAGCACTGTAGACTCAAACAATGATGGATCAGGACCAAACTTGGCACGAATACTCAATATGGTCAAATGCGAACACTGGTGGAGTTTGGGGGAAATAGACCTCAAAATTTGGGAGTAATTACTGGGATTTATAGTTCACCTACAATCAAAGAGCATTCTGAACTCTACCAACATTGGAATTGAACCAAATTTGGCACGAAGAACTCCCATGATGAACAGAAAATACTGGAAGGCTTTGGTGGGCATTGACCTTGAGTTTAGGAGTTGTAGTTCTTCTACATCCAAAGAGCACTGTGGACTCAAACAATGATGGATCTGGACCAAACTTGGCATGAATACTCAATATGGTCAAATGCGAACACTGGTGGAGTTTGGGGGAAATAGACCTCAAAATTTGGGAGTAATTACTGGGATTTATAGTTCACCTACAATCAAAGAGCATTCTGAACTCTACCAACATTGGAATTGAACCAAATTTGGCATGAAGAACTCCCATGATGAACAGAAAATACTGGAAGGCTTTGGTGGGCATTGACCTTGAGTTTAGGAGTTGTAGTTCTTCTACATCCAAAGAGCACTGTGGACTCAAACAAAGATGGATCTGGACCAAACTTGGAATGAATATTCAATATGGTCAAATGTGAACACTGGTGGAGTTTGGGGAAAATAGACCTCAACATTTGGGAGTTGTAGTTGCTGGGATTTATAGTTCACCTACAATCAAGGAGCATTCTGAACTCCGCCAACTTTGGAACTGAACCAAATTTGGCACGAAGAACTCGCATGGTGAACAGAAAACACTGGAAGGCTTTGGTGGGCATTGACCTTGAGTTTAGGAGTTGTAGTTCACCTACATCCAGAGAGCACTGTGGACTCAAACAATGATGGATCTGGACCAAACTTGGCATGAATACTCAATATGGTCAAATGTGAACACTGGTGGAGTTTGGGGAAAATAGACCTCAGCATTTGGGAGTTGTTGTGCTGGGATTTATAGTTCATCTACAATCAAAGAGCATTCTTTACCCCACCAATGATAGAATTGGGTTAAACTTCCTGCACAGAATCTCCATGACTAACAGAAAATACTGTGTTTTCCGGTGGTCTTTGGTGACCTTTCTGACACCCCCTCACAACCCCCCCCCCCAGGTTGAGAAAACACTGCCCTGTAGCAGTGTTTTCTTCTTATTATTAACAAGAAATAATATTTAATTATTAATAAGAAATAATAAATAGCAGAGAGGAAACAATCAAGGACATCTAATCACCTCTCAACAAAAGATTGCCCCAGGCACTGCCAGGCCATCAAATGCTAATCAAGGTGGTCAGTTGAAACATTCACACCTAGCTCCAGCAGACAAGATTCCTTTGTCCCACCCTGGTCATTCCACAGATATATAAACCCTTTTTCCTAGTTCCAACAGACCTCACTACCTCTGAGGATGCTTGCCATAGATGCAGCAGGCGAAACGTCAGAACCTTCCTAATGCCGCGACCCCTTAATACAGTTCCTCATGTTGTGGTGATCCCCAACCATAACCCTAACATTATGAATCTCCATGTAAATAATGATCTGCAGGATAAAAACCCACAAGAACTGAGTGTATCCAGCCATGAAAGCCTTCGACAATACATTCACACCTAGCTCCAACAGACAAGAGTTCTTTGTCCCACCCTGGTCATTCCTCAGAGATATAAACCCACTTTCCTAGTTCCAACAGACCTCACTAGTACCTCTGAGGATGCTTGCCATAGATGCAGGTGAAACGTCAGGAGAAGATGCCTCTAGACCATGGCCATATAGCCCGAAAAAACCTACAACAACCTAATGATAAACAGGTTTTAAATGTAATAAAGTAAAATACTAAAATATCAGAATATTGAAACATTGTGAAATGATCATGAAGATGACAGTAACTATAAATAGATACAGTCAGCTGTGAAAGTGAAAGTTAAATGAACAGTAATGGAGAAAATCTGAGAATCAGGTGGGGACATATTCTTTGAGTAGAGAACACCTTCATCCATTGAAAGCAGATCTATATTTACTTAGCCCAGAAGACAAAATGCTACTGAATCTTTGAGCCTAGTGGGGTGTGGTTAATTTTTAAAATTGAAAAGTGGTACATTACACAATGCCTTCTTGCTTTTATACTAAATACAGACATTTCAGAACAAATTTCACAACTGTCCTCTTGTAACTTGAAGCAGTACAGTTCAGGAAAATTCTGAACTGACATAGTGTTTTCTGGCAGCAGCACCATTCAACTGAACTTCCCTCATATAGTCTGGTGATTGTTCTGCTTTAGCTGACTTGTGATGGAAATAAAATATTTCAATTACGATTTCTAAATGGATGGGTTACATTCTTCTGAATTTGATTGGATTTGATTAGGGCCAGAAGGTTGATTTGTAGCAATATATAGTTGTGCTCTATTTGTAATGTGGAATGTTCAACATTTAGAATTTGCTGAAGAAGTATATTTTTTTTCTTGATGAGTGTCTATGCGGTTTTGATAGGTATTATGACTTTCTGTATAGTATTACTTAACAACCTCCTTCCTTTGGTTTTTGGGTGAGACCCATAATGTGGCCAGAGAAGATCAGTTTTTTACCTAATTGGAAATTTTTCTTCATAGTTGTGACAGTGTGGGATGGTGAAATTGTACGCAAGTTAAGGAGTTAGGCTATAAAATAGTCTTCAACAGATGTGGTCTAAATATGTTTTCTTTTTAATGATTTTAGAGAGCTTCAAAGAGAATAAAATTCCTTGGGAAAAATATAAGAAGAAAATTTGTGAAAAAACCCCATTGTGGATATCACCATTGGAAGCGGTACAAAGAAGGGAGTTAGGATGGATGAATTGGCCGAAATATAAAGATTTGGTGAAAAAAGAAAATGGTAAAATAACTTTAAAAACCCAGCAAGAGATGAAGGAAATTGATGGGAAAATCTCATGGCTTCAATTTTGGCAGATCAGAGAATGCTTTTAAAAAGATGAAAAATTAGGCTTCGAAGAACAAAAGACATTTTGGGATATTATGATGCAGACTGACAAAAAAAATAATAACAAGGTTATATGAAAAATTAAGAGAATGGAACAAAGACCCAAAGGAGGAAAAGGAATATATGAAGAGATGGAAAGAAAATATTGGAAGAAACATAAAATAGAGGAATGGGAGGAAATCTGGATGAAGAAATTAAAATATTCGTGTGCAACAGACCTAAAGGAAAATTGGCTAAAAATGGCACATAGATGGTGCGTAACACCGCACAAATTAGGCAAATGTTATAGTAATGTTAATACAAATTGTTGGAAATGGAGAAAGAAGGAAGGTACGCTGTTCCACAAAAAGCTGGGGTGAAAATTGCTGGAAGAAACATTAACAACCTCAGATATGCAGATGACACCACTCTG